ATCGAAAACTAAAAAATAAATACTAAAAAATTCTCTCTTAAAAAAAAAAAAAAAAAAAGATATACCAGCAAGATACTTAGGGGGTATTATAAGTTTTACCAAACAAAAGTTATATTCCTAAAAATGGCTTTAAAAGATAAATTTGGTAACTCCTTAATTTTGCAATCTATTATATGCTTGAGCTAATGAAATCTGGTGGACCGTTTCTGGTACCATCAAATAATCTTGAGACAGCAGGGACTTCCCAGCACCCCCCAGGGATCCTCCTCAGCCTCTGCATAAAAAGGAAATATTTCTAGAATCTTCTCTATTGAAACTACTTATTCATATACAATGCTTTACTGAAATAAATCCAGAGATTACATTAAACTACTAGAGAATTTTTAAAAAGGTTTTTTTTTAAATCATTATTAACAAATATATAGGTTGGCCAGGCCCAGTGGTGCATGCCTGGAATCCCAGATGCTGAAGAGGCTGAGGCAGGAGGATTGCACTAAGTAATTCAGTGAGACTCTGTTTCTAAATAAAATACAAAATAGGGCTGGGGATGTGGCTCAGTGGTCAAGTGCCCCTGAGTTCAAACCCCGGTACCCACCCCACCCCACCCCCAAAAAATATATATTTGCTTCCAAATAGTTACTACATTCACACATAATGAAGACAGAAGACGGCAATGTAGAGGTAGGACAGTACAGGGAAACTTCGCTCTCTATAAATTATGTTAAGTAGAGAAAAGATAGCTATATAAATTGGGAAAAGGAAACACCAAAAGTCATGGGCTACCGTAAGTATCTTTAGTAACAATCATTAGTTAAAAAAAAATATAAAAAAAGGAATAAAATTTACTTACTTTGTCAACTCCCATCCTCTTAAAACCTGCTTGTAGTATTTTGAAGTTCTGGATATATTCATGTTCTAGCTTAGCTTGGAATTTCACTTTCTTCAAGGCAACAGAGCCCGGGAATAGCATGTCCATAAACTGACAATAGGCAGCTCCTGAATGAACAACAATACAAAAAGCCCATAAACACCAGACGCCAAACACTACTATTAAAGAAATGTGAACTTTTTCCCAAATACAACTTAACAAAAAGTTGTAAAAGGAACCTATAAATCCCAAAACTTCGCCAGAGTGGCAAACACCTATATAATCAAACAACTTGGGAGGCTGAAGCAAGTGGCTGAAGTAGGAGGACTGTGTTCAAGGCCAGCCTCAGCAATTTAATGAGGCCCTAAACAACTTAGCAAGATCCTGTCTCAAAATAAAAAAATCAAAAAGGACTGGGGTGGCTCAATTCAAAGTCAATTTTTAAAAATCTATTAACAACACTGGTTTTACCTGATAAATTCCACAACACAGTTGCAATTTGGAAGCCTATTAACAAGAAAAAGAATATCTATGAAATTTTAAAACTCCTATTTCTTATTAGAAATCATGATGACAGCCAGGCACAGTGGTACACACCTGTAACTTCAGCAATTAAAGAGGCTGAGGCAGGAGAAGCCCAAGTTTGAAGCCAGCCTCAGCAACTTATGGAGACTCTGTCTCAAAATTAAATATGAAAAGGGCTGGGGATGTACCTCAGTGGTTAAGCACCCCTGGGTTCAATCCTCAGCACCAAAGAAAAAGAAAGGTTGGAAAAAAAAATTTAAACTGATATCCGAAAACTGTGACTCAAAACTACAGAAGCCAGAGACCAACCCACATCCAAGTAACCTCAATTCTCATCCAACTGTTCTTTTCCATATCACCAGAGGCCTTCACAGGATACAGTAGAGCTGAGTAAAGAAACAATTCCTAGCAGGGAACAGTGGTGCCCGGTGTAATCCTAGCTCCAACAGAAGCTGAAGTAGGAGGATTGCAAGTTCAAAGCCAGCCTCAGCAACTTAGCTGGCCCTCAATAAGGCCTTGTCTCTAAATAAAACATAAAAATGGGCTGGTACACGCCTGTAATTCCGAAGGCTAATGCAGGAGGATTGCAAGTTCAAGGCCAGCCTCAGTAATCTAAGAGAACCTGTCTCAAAATAAAAAGAGCTGGGGATGGGCCAGGGTTGTGGCTCAGTGGTAGGGCGCTTACCTAGCATGCCTGAGGCATTGGGTTTGATCCTGGCACCACATAAAAAAATAAACAAATAAAGATTAAAAACAAAATAAAACAAAAGAGTTGGGAATATATCTCTGTGGCAAAGCACCTCTGGGTTCAATCCCCAGTACCAAAAACAAGCAAAGAAAATAAAAAGGGTTGGGGATGGGGCTCAGTGATTAAGCACCCCTAGGGTCAATTCCCAGTACCAAAAAAGAAAAAAAAATTAAAGGACAAAGATTTATGTATAAAACTGATTATAACTGTATTCACCAGAGTAAAAAATGTTAAGTACCATACTTCTCACAGTAAGATCAACTACATAACTTTTAACATATAATCCTAACAAAAATTTGTTCCCCACTATTGAGTACTGAATCTAGCTCTACCACAAAGTTACATCCCCAGCCCTTTTTATTTTGAGACCGTATCTCACTGATTTGCCCAGGTTGGTCTGGAACTTCCAATTCTCTTACCTCAGCATCCCCAGTAGCTGGGCCACAATTAACAAAAAGTTGTAAAGGGAACCTATAAATCCCAAAACTTTTCTCTTACCTCAGCATCCCCAGGCATGAGCCACAATATTGCAGAATTTCATGCAAACATTCAAACTATGTTTGTTCACTTTGGGGGGGGGGGAACCTCAAGATATAACATTTAATGAATACGCAAGACAGAAAAACATAACCATAAGGTATCTTTACATGTGTAAAAATATCTTAATATATATGCACACAAAAACCAAAAAACATAAAGTATTAAATGAAGCCATAGGAATTTGTTTTGTAGACTAAAAATGATCAATAATGACCATGAGGGATGATGCAGAATGCATTATAGTTTTTCAATATTTGGCTACGTAATACAGTGAATATTATATATATAATAAGAATACAAAAAAGGTTAAATTTCTGCCAGGCGCAGTGGTGCACGACTGTAATCCCAGCTTCTGGGGAGGCTGAGGCAGGAGGATCAGGAATTCAAAGCCAGCCTCTGCAATGGCCAGGTGCTAAGCAATTCAGTGAGACCCTGTCTCTAAATAAAATACAAAAGAGGGCTAGGGATGTGGCTCAGTGGTTGAGTGCCCCTGAGTTCAATCCCCGGTACCAAAAAAAAGGTTAAATTTGTTAAAGAAAAAAGCTCATCAATGCTTTTTACAGGAAGAGTTGAAAACTCCTGGTCTATATGTCTCAACTGGGAAAAGAACAGGTGTGTAAAAGGGGCCTTCCTTCCAGTCTCTGACTTAATAACAATGTGACCAAGACAAGGGCAAATGCTGACAACACAAGCAGGACTAGAAGAAGATTTCACTTTGGTGCCTCTGGCCCATCAATCTGCAGAATAAGTACAGGCCCACATAATCGATGGCTCAAGGACTCAAGAGTGTAGGATATATCATGGCACTGACTGCCACAACGCCATTTTAACAGGCTCTGTGCTACAAGCAGAAACCAAACCCAAGAGCAGGATGTGCACCAGTGTCAAACGCTTGCTTATCTCAAGTGCACTGGCTCAACCTTTTCAGGTCAGGGGAGTTAAATGAAAGCTGCAGCCAATAGTCTGCACAAAAGAGATGCTCACCTATCAGAAGACCAAAGTTTAAGAACTCTCAACGCTTTAATATTAACATACAGGAAACACATATGACTATTAAATTGAAAGTGTTCAAGGCTTCATGGAGTAGGTGAAACTTGAGTCATCTTAAATGATGAATAAAATCTGGAAAGAGAGGGCTGTGAGGAGTCATTAATAAAAACATTAAAATTCAAGCTCAGGATATTTCAACATGGGAAAAATACAATTTTGGTTTTAAAATAGGCAATAAAGTTGTACAACACATGTGTGCTTATACGTTAATTACAGCAATAATTTTCCAAGGGCAATAGACTAAACTAAATATCCATTCCATCAATAGAAGATTGACACAAAGAAATCACAATAACACATAGCCATAAAAGAAAATACAGTGGCTTCTGAAATAGATAATAGCACAGTGGTTTGGGATTTTTTTTTTTTTTTTTTTTTGCAGGGGAGGTGGGTGGGAGGGTACCAGGGATTGAACCCAGAGGCATTTAACCACTGAACTACATCCCCAGCCCTTTCTATTTTTTTTATATTGAGATAGGGTCTCACTAAGTTGCTTAGGCTAGCTTTGAACTTGCAATTCTCCTGCCTCAGCCTCCTGAGCAGCTAGGATTAGAGGCATGTCCCACTGTGCCCAATTTAGGACAGTGTAATTAAACACGCTATCAAAGGAGAGAACCCATACACTCAGCATACAGGTAAACAGCCATTTTTGCTTATACAAACACATACAGTACATATATACATACATACATATATAAAATTTAAAAATAAAAAGGGCTGGGAATGTAGCTAAGTAGTCAAGCACCCCTGGGTTCATTCCTGGTACCCACCCACCCCCCCAACCCCTCAAAAAAGAAAGGCTGCAGACTGATGCAGTGTAAGAGGAGGAGGCGGATAGGGAAGTTAGAAGGAACCCAGTATCCTTTTAGGAAGCCACTGTAACAGCAGTGAGCTACTAGGAAAGGGGGTAGATCTCAAAGTCCTTCAGAAGACAAAGAGAATTTGTAATTAGCTTCAAAAGATGTTACTTAAACACTAGGAGTAAAGTAGAATCATGTCCTTAAATGAATAGTACTTGGAAAAGGAAGCCACCTTGAGGAGAATACAAAGCTAGGATTTAGGTAATGAGAGAGGTAAGAAAAAATATACCAGACAGCAATACCAGACCAGAAGGCAGCAGGGGAGGCCTGGTTAATGGCATGGTCAGAGTAGAAGGCCAAGGCCATTAACAGGCAGCACTAATAAGACTGACAGCTGCCTTATATGAACTCAACGGCCATCAGGGCCACACAATAAACTGGAAGAAAAGGAAGCTTATATACCCCTCCTATTTTTTGCAGAACAAGAACTATGAAGGAGGCCAGGTAGAGAGGGAGAATACAGAGAGGAGAATGGAGAACATTTAGTAAGGTCCCTCTGTGTACAAAGCAACATGCAGGATCTTTGAGGAAAATGCATTACAGTCTGACATGGAATGGAACTGGGAGGACAGAGTTACGGCAGGCAAAATGCAAACAGCAATCTCTTTCTGACAAAAGCAATTCCCCATCAAAATCATTCTCTGTGGTCAGATTTTTTCCTTGATCACTCTTTCCATAATACTTGACAACTGGGTCTCCAAAGTAGGAAGTTAGATAGAACTTTAGATAGAACAGTAAATCTGTGTTTTTCTTACATTCAAGGGAAAACTTCCTACTTTTTAAACTTGGAGAATTCTGGTCTACTTGATCATGTGTTTGTTATAAGACCAGGAAGGATGAGGCACCAGTAAGAACAGCTGAGGATCTCCCTTGGGTCTCAGAAAGCACGAAGAGTTGAGGAGTCTCCCCTTCCCTGATTCCAATCCCTGGTAGCAGGCCATCTTCAGGGCAGTGTTTACAGTTCATCCTGTTTCTCACACTAGAAGCAAGATCCAGTTTTCAAAACATCAACATAAAACAAAATGCATCATACTCTAAGAGAGATCCTACATGGCTTCAGGAGGAAGGCTATTTATGAATGAGTAACCTTATTTACAAAACACAGAAGTATCCTGCACTTACCATTTTCTAACAGGGAAAAGTACTTTATCTCAGATAAGAAAAGTGGCAGGCATCATGTAAAATTGAAACACCTCACATATTCTACAGTGAAACAATGTCATTGTAATTAATTACATGAAATTTAAATCTGTCTAATTCTCTTCCAAATGCTTCTTTAAGACATAACATGTAGCTGGGCGCTGGGGCTCATGCCTACATCCCAGCAGCTCAGAAGACTGAGGCAGGAGGATCACAAATTCAAGCCAGCCTTGGCAACTCAGCAAGACCCCGTCTCAAAAAAGGCAGAGAATATGGCTCAGTGGTTAAGCACTCATAGGTTCAATCCATAATACCAAAAAAAAAAAAAAGACATAATATGTAAGGCAGTAGAAAGCATGTGGGTTGGATAATCAGAAACATATAGATTGAAAACAAGGATCTGGAATGCACAAGTTATGCCTCATGAGCAATCTTCCCACCTATAAATGAATATGTGCCCTCTCAGAGAGCTGCACTCATCTCCAGGGTGTGACACAGAATCAATACCTAAGAGCTATTATTACAGGGGATTCTCAATAACAACCAAACAGGTGGGCTAGGCCAGCTACTACTGTCCAAGTTTGCAAATAAGGAACTAGAACATAACAGAACTTGTCCAAAGTCACATGGCTCAAGGTAGACTGGAGCCTCTTTACATGCCCAGGCCTATAAATGACATCTCCCTGGCTGAAGGACCTGTGGCTAGACAGGCACATTTCAATTTATTTACACATGAAAAGAGAATGCATTTTCCAATTAACTAAGTGAGATACACTTTGCAGGATATTTATAGAAAGAGGTCAATTTTAGCGAGAAACTGCTAGTAAAAAAAAAGCTGTCTCTAATGAGAACAAGAATGACCTCATCTCCACATCAGTCACAGATCATGAGGCAAAGAAGTGTTTTAAAAGTCTCAAACAAATGGGGGCATGATACTCTGGAAACTTAACAAAAAACAGGAGAAAAGCAACACAAATCTAAGGCTAAAAACTGTTGTCTACAACTAGCAAAGTAATTAATGTTTAACAAACATAATTCTTGGGGACCACTTCAGTGGTAACCTCCCTCTGACCATAAGATAGAGATTAGGGGCTGGGGTTGTGGCTCAGTGGTAGAGCGCTCGCCCAGCACATGCGAGGCCCTGGGTTCGATCCTCAGCACCACATAAAAATAAATGAACAAAGATATGGTGTCCAAATAAAAATAAATATTAAAAAAAAAGAGAGATATTAAACCTCACAGGGGAAATTAGCAAATGAAACTAAGACTAAGAGTAGGTCCTGGGAGTGGTACGATGCAGAGGAAATACAGAAAATGAACTTGGGAGGAAAACAAAAATCAGAAACAGCAGTAATTTTAAACAATCCAAATGGCTGCGGCCCGGGTTCGATCCTCAGCACCACATACAAACGAAGATGTTGTGTCCGCCGAGAACTAAGAAAAAATAAATATTAAAATTCTCTCTCTTAAAAAAAAAAAAAAAAGGGCTGGGGATGTGGCTCAAGCGGTAGCGCGCTCGCCTGGTATGCGTGCGACCCGGGTTCGATTCTCAGCACCACATACCAACAAAAGATGTTGTGTCTGCTGAGAACTAAAAGATAAATATTAAAAAAAATTCTCTCTCTCTCTCTCTCCTCTCTCACTCTCTCTTTAAAAAAAAAAAAAAACAATCCAAATGACACCTGTTAATAAAGAGAAAGTTCAAAGAGCAACTAGGGAGTAGGGGTTGAAGAATATAGGTTCTTGATTTAAACAAAGGTTCAGATCCCAATTCTGTTTTTAGCTGTACAAAGCTGGTCTTGTTACTTCTCTAAACCATCTTTTTCATCTGAAAACAGAGAGCAACCATACCTACCTCATCAAAGTACAGTAAGAAATAAATGGAAAGGTTTCAAAAGCATTTAAATGATCCTGGCATACAAGTAAATGATTACTGTTCTTATTACTAAAAGAGACAGAGGGTTTCTGATTGTCTATCCCATAATTTTTTTTGGGGGGGAGAGTGGTGCTAGGGATAAACCCAGGACCTTATTTATGCTAGGCAAGTGCTCTACCACTAAGCCCACCCCCAAGGCACGAATTTAAGTACTAGTAGGACACACATCCCATCCTTTTTCTGGCATATTTCTGATATCATCTCCTATTGGTGGAAAATCCAATTTTAATAAGCCTGACATGTTCTTTACTATGTTAGAACTCAGAAATAGTCAGCAGAACTCTCAAGAAATGAGAGAGAAGTCCATAAAGGAGCTGGACATGGTGATGCATGCCTATAATCCCAGTGGCTTGGTCAGCTGAGGCAGGAGGATCACAAGTTCAAGACTAGCCTGGGAAACTTAGCAAGCTCTTGTCTCAAAACAAAAAGGACTGGAGATATAGCTCAATGGTAGGAGTGCTTGCCTAGCATGCACAAAGCTCTGGGTTCCATCTCCAGTACCAACAAAAAAAAGTATACAGCTGTTCAAAGTAGTATTTCTAAATTAATGATACTGGAGAATATGCACAATATAATATTAAATTTGCAAAAACTCGGGATACACACATACACAAATTATACACAGAAATGTGACAGGAAGGATCCAACTAGTGGCTTTCCTGGAAAATGGAATTTTAGGTTTTTTATTTGTTTACTAGTTTTCTAAATGTTATACAGTCAGTACATACAGAAACAAACCACATTTTTTTTTTTTTTTTTACAAACCACATTTTTATTCTTGCTTTAAAATCATTAACTCCCTACCAAATTGCAGTTCTATTAAAACTGGCTAAAGGAACTGGTGGTGCAGCTCAGTGGTAGAGCAGTTGCCTAACACATATGAAGAACTGGGTTCAGTAAAATCAAGTTTTGTGGGCTGGGGATGTGGCTCAAGCGGTAGCACACTCGCCTGGCATGCATGCGGCCGAGGTTCGATCTTCAGCACCACATACAAACAAAGATGTTGTGTCCGCCAAAAACTAATAAATATTTAAAAAATTTAAAAAAAAAAAAAATCAAGTTTTGTGTCCATCTACAACTTTAAAAAAAAAAAAAAGTCTCAAATGGCATTTGCCTGACTTTGGTCATGTGTTTTCCATAAGTAATAAATGCCAGTAATAAACTAATAAAACCAGAAGACTGGGGGGTGTAGTTCAGTGGTAGAGCACTTACTCGGTATGTGTGAGTAAGACCCAGGATTCAATCTCCAGCACCACAAAAAAAAAAAAAAAAAAAAAAAACCTACAACAGTACTACAATTAATGTCCTCAAACAAAACATTTGAAATCTGGATGTTCAAGAATAAGAGGTTGAGGGCTGGGGATGTGGCTCAAGCGGTAGCGCGCTCGCCTGGCATGCGTGCGGCCCGGGTTCGATCCTCAGCACCACATACCAACAAAGATGTTGTGTCCGCCGAGAACTAAAAAATAAATATTAAAAATTCTCTCTCTCTCTCTCACTCTCTCCTCTCTCCTCTCTCACTCTCTCTTTAAAAAAAAAAAAAGAATAAGAAGTTGAGGCAGAGCTCCAGGTCACAGAATGCAGTCTCTGCAGCAGAAGAGGGTAGACATGTAGACTAGAAGCATAGCCTATTTAAGCATAGCTCCTTTTAGAAGAGGAAGCAGGGTAGGCCTGACAGGAAGGAATGGCAGCTTCTCTGTGTGGCTCTGTAGGCAGATACAGGCATGAGTGCACCCAAAGAACCTAAAGGCTTTCCTAGAAAAATGATCTAGTGAATTTCTCTTACCTGAGCACAATTGTTCAATCTTTGTCAGATTCAACTGCAGAGACTCATTGATCCAGGCCAGCATGTCATGTCGACTTAGGTTATCACTGGTGACTGACGTCGAGTATACGTTCACTGCCATCTTCTACAACATGCACAGAAAAGAGAAGGGCTCATATTATGGTAGGCATGCAAGTGAGGGAAAGCCTTTCCTAGTCACCCATCGTCAACCTGAGAAAATACCCAATTTGTAAGCCTCAACTTCTTCCCCAAGGTGCCAAACCAGAAACACTAGTGTTCCAGTCATAAGCCTGGGCTTCCATGTATATAGATGACTTTAGAAGCCAGGCAAGGTAGCACATAACCTGTAATCTCAACTCAGGAGGCTGAGGCAGGAGGATCACAAGTTCAAGGTCAGCCTCAGCAATTTAATGAGATTCTCAGCAACTAAGCAAGATGATATCTTAAAATAAAAATAAAAAGGACTGAGGGCTGGGCAGAGTGGCACACACCTGTATTCCCAGTAGCTTGGGAGGCTAACGCAGGAGGATCAGAGCCAACCACAGCCAAAGTGAGGCATTAAGTAACTTAGTAAGACCCCGTCTCTAAATACAATACAAAATAGGGCTGGGGATGTGGCTTAGTGGTCAAGTGCCCCTGAATTCAATCCTGTTAATGCCCCCTCCCAAAAACAAGACAGGGGATGTTGCTCTGAAGCACCTGGTTTAATCCCTGGTAAACAAACGAAAATGGCCTGAAATAAACTTTCCAACACCAGTCAGCCTAAAATTTAGATCCCATCTTAAGGAGACTGAAAAAAAATCTTAACTATAAAAGGCACTAAATAAAGGGAAAGGGCTTTATAGAGGGAGGCTGGTGCACAAACAAGAACTCTTACGTTGGGCTTGGATTGTGGCTCAGTGATAGAGCGCTCACCTAGCATGTATGAGGCTCTGGGTTCGATCCTGAACACCATGTAAAAATAAAATAAAGATATTGTGTCCAACTAAAACTAAAAAATAAATATTTACCAAAAAAAGAGAACTCTATATTTAAAAGACATCAGTTCCAGTGTAGTTCAGAGAGGGCATCCTAATCTTAGCATGCATGAGGTCCTGGGATTAATCCCTAGCACCATGAACACACACACTCATCAGTCCAAGTTTTTTATTAAGGCATCAAAATGCTTACAGTTTTCTTTCATTACTTCTTTTTACCATTTTCAATACTTACCAAATTGTCTTTAAAGACTATTATCTACTTTCATAATTTTCAATAACCTAGATACTATAAAGGTATGCCAAATGACAATCTTACAAGTGAAGAGTCCTTGATACTAATTCTCCTGACAACCCTCTGCAAGGTCCACTTCATTCTCATTTTATTTATTTATTTATTTACTTACTTATTTTTATTGACTTTATTTTTTTAAATACACGACTGCAGAAATGCATTACAATTATGATATAGAGAGAACACAATTTTTAATATCTTTGTATGTAAAGTATGTTCATGCCAATTCATGTCTTTATACAAGTACTTTCATTTTTGTTTTTTTGTTTTGTTTTTTGTTTTTTGTTTTTTTACTTTCCTCATTTTATAAGTGAAGAAAGGGAGGCCCTGGGGATTGGCAGCCAAGCATGCCCAGACCCATCAGCCACTCTCTCAGAAAACATTGCCCTCACCTTTCTGCCAGGTTTTCAAATTCAAAACATAAACATAAAGCAACAAATCTCATTGAATTTAATTATATTTTATTATACTTTTTTAGAGTCTTGCTACATTGTTCAGGCTGGCCCTGAATTCCTGGGCTCAAGTGATCCTCCTGCCTCAGCCTCCCAAGTAGCAGGGACTTATAGGCACATACCACCACACTGAGGTAATAAATCTCACTTGAAACACAAATGGCTGGGGATCTAGCTTAGTGGTAGAGAACTTGCCTAGCATGTATGAGACCCTGGGTCCAATCCCCCAGCACTGCAAAATCAAAAAACAAAACAAATAAAACACTAATAAATGTGGATACCATCGTCGAGGAGTCCCATTTGAATCATCAATCACCCACTCAACAAATTATTTTCTTAAAGCCAGGCATAGTGGTGCACACCTGTAATCCCAGTGACTGGGAAAGCCGAGGCAGGAGAATCTTAAGATTCCAGGCCAACCTCAGCAACTTAGTCAGACCCTAAGCAACTGTCTCAAAATAAAAAATAAAAAAGGGCTGGGGATATGGTTCAATGATTAAACAACACTGTATTCAATCCCCAGTACCAAAAATAAATAAATATTTTGCTGATCTCTACCATAGACTGGGCACTATTCTAGGAACCTGAAAACAGACATGCAAGAGGGACAATGTGCCTGTCTGTAGGAGGTGACATTCGAGTAGTGGGAAGTCTGACAATGACCCAATACAAAAAATCTCATTTTACACCAAACACTTGGCCAAAGGGGGTTTTGGAATATGGCAGGGGATGCCTCTCTGAAGTGACAGCAGAGCTTAAGAATCAGAAGGAAGCAACCACATCTGGAAGAATGATGCTACAGCCTAATGAACAAGAGGGAAAACAGGAACACAAATGGGAAAAGAAGTCAAGAGGCCAGATCATGTTAGGGCTCTTCAACCCCAGTAAGGAATACGGACTTTATTCTGTTACATGAATCCACTGTTGAGTTTTAAGTAGGGCAAAGTCTCATCTCATTAAAGTCTGAAAAAGATCACCTTAACTGCTGCTAGAGGAGCAGGCAGGGAGTTATGACTCAAGCAATATGAGATAAGAGAAGCAGAGAGGGAAGACTCATGCAGTATGAGGATAAGGACAGGCTACTCAGATCTAAATGAAACCCCTGGGCAGTCACCATGAGAATACCCGTAACACAGATTTTATAGTGACCTTGACAATAATAGTTTTCCTCATTTCATTAGACATCAACATTGCCAATGGTGCAAGAGGGGTGGGATTCACAGCAATCTGGAACTATCATCAAATCCAGCCTTTTGTTCTCTTGCGGCACCTGTTCCCTCACCTAGAGTAGAGTTGGACTTCCCACATCCACCTTCTTCAGTAATCTACCTTGTAAGCCACATTCTCCACACAGAATGTGAGAGCAAGAATAGTCAGGGATCCACCCATCCAATCTCCTTATGCAGGGGTGAATGGGGTCTAGAGAGTTAAAAGACTTACCAGCTCTGTGCCCTCAGAGATCCCCAACTGCACTTGACACAATGCCTTGCACACAGTGAGGGCTACTAAAAGCTACCTGCTGTCAGGATGTACAGGGCAATGACAAAGAGAAAAAAGTATCTACATAAACTTTTTTTTAGAAAGCAATCCATCAACACTCTCACATTCCCGAAATCAGCTGATAAAAACATGTTATGCAAGAGAGCCAAACAATTTAGTTCCTGACTCCATTGGAAATTAATCCCTGTTTTTCCAGAACACTTCATTCAAACCTCTATGACTGCTGTAATCATCACATTAGATTGGCAGTATTTCTTCATTTCTGAACCATTCCTAGGTCAGGCAAGGATCAGAAAGCAATCCACTCCATGCACAGAGCCAATGATTTCAAACCAGGAGAACCTGGGTTTTAATGTGAGGCCGTCTCTCATTAGTTGTGTGATCTTGTTCAAGTTACTGAAACTCAAGGTACATCAATTATCTTGTAAGTTAATACAACCTATTTGAAAAGATTTATTTATTTATTTTGGCTTGGGAATGTGATTCAGTGATAAAGTACTTCCCAATTATGCATGGAGAAATTTAAATGAGATAAGAAATAAAATACTCTCCACTGTATTAAACATAAGAGGAATTCAACAAACAAGACCCAAGGCTGCCACCCTGTTTCACACGTTATCTTCAGTACTAAAAACAGTACCTGAGACCCGTTACCACCATCCCTCATGGAAATCCACTGTCAAGTCTTCAAATTACTCGGTCTCAATCTGTTCTTACACAGCAGCCAGAAAAAATTTCCTGAATCACATAGTGTCTCCTGTTTTAAATCCCTGAGCAAATCAATGGAATGTATATTATGTGCAAAATGCTAATATCAAATACCAAAGAGAAACATCCAAACAAAAAAACATGGTCCCAGGCTGAGCACTTGCAGTCTATCTTGATGACATTCATGTGTACACTGGGTGTTGTTGTGCACTGCTACCATAAAATTTAAGCTGCTGATAAAGCCACGTGTCTCCTGACCACACCTCAGCTGAGAAAAGGTTAGTGGCCTTTCATCATCATATAATTTTAAACTCTTTCATTAGCAGTAAGTACATTAATAGCTAGTCCCATGTGCTCCACAAACTCTTCAGTCACTAAATACACAGGATTAGACACCCTGTGGATGTGCAATAAACATTCACTGACTTGAGCAATTAAGCGGCTCTTCCAGGCAGTCAAAATAGCCTAGTTCTCAAACCGATAGCTCCCTCTAGCTCTTCCTCATTAAAAATTCCATTGCCTGGGCTGGGGATGTGGCTCAAGTGGTAGTGCTCCACTGGCATGTGTGCTGCCGGGTTCGATCCTCAGCACCACATACAAACAAAGATGTTGTGTCTGCCGAGAACTAAAAAATAAATATTAAAATTCTCTTTCTCTCTCGCTCTCTCTTTAAAAATAAAAAA